ATACATATGTTTCAAGTCACTAAAAGCATTTCTATTAACTAAACCAGAGAAGTGCAAATGTTGACGAGAAGGTGGGATGAAATTGCATATCAATTCCCTCAACTTTTGCAATTATTTTGAAATAATTCATGTTATTGTGATGAAGAAATTTTGGTACCGGAAAGAAATACGAAAAGAAAAGGAATAAACAGCGGGAAAGAGAGGGGAAATGTAATAATTAGATGCTAAAGCTAATTAAAAAAAGAGATGTTGCATTGAATTTATTTAAGTTTGACTAACCGATTATAACAATTCCAATTTCTTCCTGCTATAGGAACTAATTATTACATTTCTTCTCTCTTCCCTCCTGTTTATTTCACTTTTTTTTCTTGTATTTTTTTCACCATCAGAATTTCTTTGCCACAATAACATGAATTACCACAGTAACTTGCTTTTCACATTATCATCTTTAAGTCTTTTGCTATCTTCATTGGATATCCTTAAGCAATATATGACATTTATTAAAATAGTCAACTTATAATACGTATGATTGTGACGATTTTATCAAAAATTCTGCCATCTCAAGTTTTCAGAATTCTAATTTTCTTTTTTTTTGCTTGAAATAAAAAATAACTTTTAAGGAGTCATTTTTATAGTCCACAGCTGTTCTTGCTAACATCCATTGATACCTTTTGTAAATAAAATAATTTTTATTATATGAATCACTCCACCTAATTTTGATATGTATGTGTCTATTATATGAATGGTAGCACTGATAACGACGACTTCTGTTTCATTGATACTGTACTCTCATCTTATTAGTTAATACTCATTTAGTCTATATGACTAAGTGCTTTTCCAATTAATTATTAACGATATTTCTAGTGCTTATGGAAATTTTTCACTTTTCAATTCAATACAAATGTAAGGAATATTTTGTGATGATAATTGTGACGTCTTCATTTGTAATATTATATAAAAGAGAGAAGCGTTTTTTTTTATCATAACCTTTCATCCTTCATCTTCCGTTCCCTTTTCCTTTTCTTCTTTCTACCACTTCATTATTATTCCAATGAATTCCCATATTGGCTTCATTTGTTTACATTAGATATTTTTTTTTTGCAGAATTTAATTTGTTGCGACAGGTTTTGGTGTTTAGTCTCTTAAATGTTAATACTTAATTAGCTTGATTGATTCAAATTATGGTGGTTCAGTGCTAATTTAAATGTGAACAGTGAATAGAAGTTGATTAGGAAACTTTCAATACTAGGCTTCGAGACTTTGCGTAAATATGAATATAAATGAATTTCGCAAAGTCCAAGATATCGGGACACATCATATTTTAGGGTGATATTTAAGAGAATTACGATAACGTGAAAAAAATCGAATCATTCGTGTTATTTTGCTCACTAATAGTAAATGTTAAAGTGTGATGGATCTTTTTCGGAGGTTTACAACTGTTGTATTGTTGGAGAGTAGCATTTTTAGCAACCGCATTGAACAAATGCCATGTTGTAAGATATAACATTTTTATTGTGAGAATTCTTCCTAGAAATTGAAATAACTTTAAGATTTGATTTGTGATTTTGAGTTTCCTTATATTTCAAAATACAACTGATAATAATTGAAAATATATCAGAAGGATCTATTTCTTTCTTATTCAATGGAGGTAAAAAGCAAATAACCGATCACGAATGATTGGCTTTAAGTCCTTAAAAGGAATAGAAACATTTTTTTTAACCCATCAATGTGACTATTTTGAGTGTTGCATTACAATATCGATAGTTTCTAATGTACAAATCTAATTTTGTTATCGCAATTTACTAGGATATTTTGTGGTTAGCTGTTTTCGCTATTAAATTATCTAATTAAACTGTCCACGTGTTATGAGTTGAATTGTCGCATATGCTAATGAGAAGCGAAAGCGTTTCTATCAGTAAAAATATTTTCAAATTTCAGTGCAAGGGTTCAGTTTTTGGTATTTGGTGCGTATTATCGAGGACGTTGTCGTGTTTCTGTAGTAAGTTGAATGTGTAAGAGGAACGAGGAGCGGTGATAAATCGCTCACTGCAGCAACAATCCTGCTACATTCAACTGCATTACCGTCTTACAGCCAAGCTGGCCCTGGTAACCTCACGTTCTCCAGTGGGGTGGCCAGTAGTAACAGTAGCAGTAGCCGTAGCAGCTCTATCCGAAGTCCGTCAACCACTTCACAAGCAGTAAATTTGGACCAAAACATATTAATTGATGGAAAATCACCAGTGATAACATTTCCGGTTGCTGATCAATCAGTCACAGCTAGCCTTACTCATGAAAGCTGTGATAGTGAAAGATCCACTCCGAAAGATATCAAAAGCAATATATTGCAACCGTCCAGTAATCCACAATCCGTACTCGCTACTTCCGATTCCAATATTACCTTATGGCAATTCCTTCTGGAGTTGCTGCTTAAGGGTGAACATACTGATCTGATCCAATGGACAAATCAGCAAGGCGAATTTAAGGTGCTTTTACTTTAAAGTCTTACTTCAGGATTAATTCAGTTCAAATTATTAGAGATTATTCGGTAATATCGATAAGAGATCGCTTGGGTCCCTTTTTTATATCCGTGATGATGAATTAAGCATTCGGGAGAATTTCCGATCAAAAAATGGAGTCTTTATAAATCCTACTTATTATTACACACTGGCAGAGGAATCACATTCATGATGGAAATTAAATTTAAGTTCTGTCCTAGATAGAATCCAGCAACCTTCTGATAGATATTTGAATTGTCACGAAAGATTGGATTTCTGGTCTAACTGATAACCCACGGGAAGGTTTGGATTATATGCAAGCTTGATTTCAAAACATCTAAACCTTGTCAGAAAATAACATTAAATGATGAGATGTTCAAAAATCGTTAAAAATGTTTACAATATGATCTGATTACTGTAAACTCCTTAATGATCAATTTTGAGAAATGAAACGATCTGCGTAAAATATATAAAGCCAAGATTGGAAGAATTAGTGGGAATAGCCTGCATATTTAAGTAGATTAATCCAAGCACTAAATTTGGACCAAAACACTGTGCTATCCTTACGGTAGTATCGGAGTAGTATTGTTGTGGCGGTATAGTGTAATAAGCACAAGGTCATCCATTCGAGCTATAAATAGTAAATATTTCTCTTGGTTTGGGGTACTTCAGAAGAAAAGGAGAAGGGGGGAAAATATGATTGATAGGCACTGAAGAAGCTTATTTGAGACAGATGTTGCTGCTTTTTTTGATATCCTAATTTGCAGTTACTGGATGCAGAAGCGGTTGCACGATTATGGGGACAACGTAAAAGTAAACCACATATGAATTATGACAAATTATCACGTGCATTGCGATACTATTATGACAAAAATATCATCAAAAAGGTGAAAATCTTATTTTTTAGTCCATCGACTAATCGATTGATCATCATCAGAATCATTCTTCTAATACCTGTTATTTTGCACTAAGGGATGAGAACCGGTTGTCGGTTACACGATTGATTGACAGTGCTTACTGCAAATAATTGACTGGTCTGTTCCATTTCTGCAGAAACTTGATTGGTCAAAGTTTCTTAAATATCTTTCCGTTTTCATCGTACTTCATAGACATGAAATAAAGGGAATGAAGCGGAAACGATCACTGTGATACCATTTATTGCGCATTCAGTCCTATGATAATCGGACTTTTAATTCTTCCTGTTATCCAGAATCTGCTACAGGTGATTGGACAAAAATTTGTATATCGATTTGTGACATTTCCGGAAGGATGTACACCTGATGCGTTGCAATGTACAATCGCACGAGATACCGATGGTATGTCAACTGACTGCGTTGTTGCTGGTTTGATTTTCCTTTTACATCTTAGTTTGTGACACTCTATAAATGGTAGAAGAGAAATGGTGAATTATTTGAATTTCTTACTCGAAATTCTCCACCGTGATAAATTTCAAATTTTACGTCGGATTTCAGCAGACTGTCATGGCTTGATGCGGAGTAGTAGCTCACCAGCTGTTCCATCTTCAGTGGTTCCCGGTTCAGGTGCTATCGATGCGCAAGCTATGCAAGCCATCTGTATGCCCAATATGAGTGCATCACCTTCTGCGAGGTATCCTATTTTACATGTTTACTTTTCCGACAGATTCGTATCTAAGGAGACGAGAGAATAGGTTGTTAATGACTTCCAGGTTATAGTTCAATGCAGAAAAGTATTTATTAAGCAAAAGTAAATAAAATAAACAAAATACCGAGTCTTTTCTATACTCTGGGAATTTCTGTCATTTTAGCACAAAGAATGGCGAAAGTAATGGAGGATTAGAAGCGACAACAGAGAGTGTGCTTACTTCAGTAAGTGGAGATACTCCGGCGGTGAGGACAGCGATGAACACAACAACAACAACAGCAGCAGCAGCAGTAGCAGCACTGGATTTTTCCCCCGTACCTTCCACTAGTGGACAGTGTTCGTTTAACGGTGTATCGGCAAACTGTTCTCCACCGAGTGGTTACCAAAATGCGATCAATGCAAACGTTGATTCTGGAGTGATATGCAGAAAGAGGAAAACTCCGATGTTTAGTTGTAGCGCTCCCGAAACAATCACTACAGTGGCATCACCCTCGTCCTCGACGGTCCCATCTTCCATTATGCCTCTGTCGAAGTCGCTATCATATCCTTCAAATCCTTCGGCAACAATTACGGATAGCCGGAGTGGAACTCATGGTACCCAAATACCTTCCTTAAAACGGGTTAAACCACGTCCACTTAATCTTTCTGCTACAGCAGCATTCTCGAACGGATCCGAATTGTCATCATCATCATCATCCAACAATTTACTGGTACCCTCACCTTTTTTCCTCCACAACAATACAGGTAATGCGTATACGAACACGTCACCTCTGGTTACTCAGTTCAGTCAGCTTTATGCAGCTGCTTCGCTTTCTGCTGGTTTGTGTCCAACGAGTCCATTCACGTCGTTACTTACGACAGCAGCAGTAAGCCCAATGCTTGGAGCTTTGGGATCACCCATGGCTGCATCCAAGTTGACTCCAACAACCGCTAACCTTCAGCAACCAATCTTCCAGTTTCCACCGAATCCATCTCATATGGCAGCAATGGCTACTGCAGCAATGATGTCACCATTGATGCCTTTTCTTGGTGCTGCTATGAACTTGAACGGTAACGGTTGTCCAACCTATGGACGTAGCAATTTTGTAAGCCGTAGTCCGGAAAGTTTGAAAACACCGGTTGTACCGTTTCCGAAAGATTTCTAATATTCCTTTGATTTGAAGTTGTGTTTAATTGCAATATTCATTGGTTTGTTTATTTGTTTGTTTATTTGCTCAGGTGCCACTATGCTACTACAGCTATTATCTTATCCCAATTTATCGTACACAATTAAATTTCTGAAATATTCGTACGCTTGTAATATTGAATAATCTGTGCGTTAGACGGTTATGATATTTTGGTCACTCTGGTCGATTTCAGAATTAAATTTGATAAAGTCCATGACATTTTAATACTTTTTGTAAAAGACATCACTTTTGTTTAAAAGAATGTGTCAGTAATTAATTTGTGTAATGTAATTGTGTCTTTTGCCATCTGTTTTACTTGACAGTTTTGGTAATTGTATTTTGCTCAAATGTCATTTTGGACGATTCAATTTATTCCTCTTCCAGAGATGTCTGAGCTAATGCCATGTCGCACCGGTAGAATTTTGGTTAAATATTATTTTCTTGATATGTAGTTCTAAAATTTTCAGTCAAATTTGAATTCTAGTAATTAAAGATTTACTTAGAAAGGATTAAATTGGATGGATTTATTTGTCCTGGGAAATTCTGTGTTATCAGCGATGATCAAAGCAATAGCGTAATTCAACGAAGGATCAAAGGTCACACGGTGTGTTCCATATGTTTTTTTTCATCTTTTTTGTCTTCATGTGTACATAATGGTATATACGTCTTTGGACAATATAGTGCCTGAAATTCATTAGAGGCCTCTATTTAAAATGTCCTTTTCAGTCAGTTTCCTATTGAGATGCTTTTTCCTCCTTTTTTTCTTTTCATTTGTACCACTGGCAATGACATAACAGTGAAGCTGCTGTGATTTTTCCCATGTCCTTTTTTTTCCCCGTTGTTTCGTCATCCCGGGTTTCCTAAAATTTTTTTTAAAATTGCATACCTATGAATTAATCTGTGAACTGAAGAAGAGCTTCGGGATTTTTTATGCTTTTTTTTTTTGTTACAAAGTAGATAAAACATTGATAATAGTTGAACCGGAAAACTAACACCCATTGTTTAAGTCATGTTGTACAAAGCTGATGTGTTACTTTGTCCAGTGTACAGATAGACCGGATGAATTGAGGAGAAAAGGAATATCTTTACGTTTTTGTAGGGTATGTTTTTGAGTCATTTCCGAATATCGAAACATATTTCTTGCCAAGTTGCCATATATCTTTGTTGTCATTGTTGGTTAATTTCATTGTTTTTTTTTTTTTTAAATAAATTTTTAAATAAGACAGAAATGTTTATTCACAGGAGGAAAGTGCAACGACCATTAAGCGATATTTTGATCGAAATTGCCAATAAGATTGCTATTCTATGCTTCCTCATTTTCTTTTTTTTACAAATTAGATCAAAGATTAAGGATAGAAGAGAGCTATAATTGAAGTGGGGATGGAGTTTGTTGTGGTGTGGGAATTGTCCTAGTTTGTTTTGGCCAGAATATGTAAACTAAGTCTAATATGATGCAAAAGGATAGGAGACGTAAGGTTTTCTGTTAATCTAATTCGAATTGTTTACATATACCTCCTACCCTGTAACGTCCAATCAACTGAGTTTAAATGTTTCAAATGCAAAATTTTCCCTTTTTTTTTAATTTTGAACGCCAGTATATTGTGAACTTGAGAAAATTATACTTCATAACTTCCTGAACTTATCCAAGTTGATCAAATTTGTGAAAGCAAAGCTTTGCGTAATGTTGAAAATAACTTTTGTAGTTAAAAGAATTAAAGTGAATGATAGGATATTTTGTAATTAGCAGTTTGACTTGATGTTGACTTATATATTAGAATGAAAAAAAGACTTCTGAATAGCACTGGTAATTTGCAGCATTTCAAATATAAATTATGCTCTTCACTTAAAGTTCCCTATTATCATTCTTAGCTCTTCTTCAATTTATGTAGTTGGGAGGATCTGGAACTTGATCAGTATTTGATTTTCACATTAAATAAGCAGAGCGTAGTGAAAAGAAAAGAATGGACTAGGCTTACGCATAGGGAAATTATAAAGTGGGGGACCAATGATTTGTTGACCGAATGATCATTGACCAGTGGTGTCCGGTAGTCTTATGAACCAGTTTCTATCTTTGGCAAATACAAAGAAGAATGGGCGATAAGGAAGCATCAGGTGTACAAATATATTCGGCATTATTTCATTTGCATAAGATTGTTTACTTCTTCAAAGTCTGTTTCGTCAAATTATACGGATTTAGATTAAGTTGACAGAACAATTCACAATGCAGTAAAACCAATAAATAATTAAAAAATTTCATTTGGCTTATTTTATGAGGCTTATGTGAATTTCTAAAGTCAGGACACTGATAATTTTGATGATATTTGAAAAATTGAAATACTAAAATCACTTGGATTTTTTTTCATATTGCATAGTTTCTTAACACACCGCAACAATTATAATTTCATTAACAATCATTGTGTATAGCTAATGAATTATAATTTCTTCGACCATAATTTAATGACAATTACTTGAGGAGCTGAATGAATTTTTATGAAGCTATCATTTCCTCCATTCCTTCATTTTCCTGAATTGTCCGCATACGAACCGTAAAGTCCTGTGAATAAGGCTGATAATGGTGATCATTTTAATCTTCCTGCTAATTGCTAGTGATGTCAAACAATTTAGGAGAGCTCAAATGTTCCAACAAAAATTTCCGTTCCATGTTTGTTCCATTTTTTACTTTGAAAATATTTTGCAAACAAAACCTACCAAAATACAATCAGAGCTAATTTACTTCTATTGCAATTAATATATTTTGTAAAATTAGAAAATAGAACCTTACTTTATATTTCCTTCATTCTCTTCTAATCATAACTTATTATCCAAAGGAATATATGTGCATGAATATATTGCATGTAAAATTTATCGTCGATTGATTGACGGATTGCAAATACATTTCGAAAAAATAAAGTAAATTTAGGGATTCAGCGAGAGAAAGTTCTAACAAATGTGGAAGTATGATATGTTTGTGAAAATTGTTTAACGATTAGAGCATTACTTTCACTGCAACCATTATCGCTTTCATCATTTGTTTATTTGTTTGTTTTACATTTTGTGAATTACTCTCTTCATCCCGAATATCATGAATGGAAGTTATCCGACTGATTGATTTATAAGTGCATTCAAACTAAATCTAAATGTTAAATTCTGCAAATAACACCATCACTAAGCAGTAGTTTAGAAGTATTGGATATAATTTTTGGCATACATTTTAGGAAGGTTAAACTTGCGAGATTATTCAAGAATGCTAACATTTCGTGTTTTTATTGTCCACAGGCTGATACTTATTATCCAATATGATAATCCGAAATAAGTTGTACAAAGTATCTGAAGATATCTACATGAAATTTTTTTTGATAGCTAATTATCCTTGAATAATTTCAGATAATTCCTCTAAATTTAGATGATCACTTTAAACGTATTTAATTGCACTTTAACAATACCGCCTAATCCATTGATTAAATAAATTTCACCAAAAAAAAACATTTACGTTGATATTGCCTTCCACAGTGGTATTGCTTTCCTTAATCTGCCGCTCTTTCTAACGAAAGTTCTTCATATTTTCTTCCTAAATCTTCTGTCCTTAGTTTGAAAGATTGCTATTGTGCTTGCAAATTATATCCCTGTTATGATCAGCAATCAGCATTTTAATAAAAGAGTTTGAATATGCGATTGAAGATGACAATGAATCATCTAATATCATGGAAACATAAGAATTGGAATACGATGAGCTTTCCTGTGATACCATTCAGATACCCAAATTATACTGAAAAAATCCCGATTGCTAGAAACAATTTACCACTCAATTAGAGTAAACAGAAATTCCAACTCTTATTTGACATTTTGACCTTTTAAGTACGTTTATAAAACTTCCAACAGAAATTCATAAATTTTTGACATCTCTTTCATAACAACGACAAAAACACAATTCATCCCTACTTTATTCCACATTTACTACTTATACAGTTCTACTCTCATGTAATTTTAATTTATTTTTGAAAGAACTGATTTGAATCCTTCCTATCACTTCATACTTTCTTCATAATAGCTTATCATTTGTCTCCTAATCATTCAGTAAGTTCTCTTGCACTTGACATTTCATTTACCATTCCTCTCTCATAATTTGTCCTTTCCTTTTATTTAATAACGCAACAAAACGATCCATTCATTTTCAATGCATTGATTCTTTCCATTACTCCATTCATCTATCCATTTCTGTTTATATATATATGTAGAAGTGTATCTGAGTATTTATAAATATATTTATAATATATTGCTGTGTTGATTCATAAGCCTCCTGCTCCTCCCCTCCTCAACAACTCCGCCCTTCCCCCGCCTCTCAATTCTGCAAATGCTCCAAATAGTTGTGAAGGAGATTTGCTGAATGGTTTTCATATTGCGAATTTCTATCATCGACTTGACAGAAATGTGACATTTCCTTCCTTTTTCATTATCATAAAAATTTCAGTCATTTGCAAAGATTTTGAAACGTATATTCAGGAAAGAAGACATTTCGAATCAATAATCAATAATTACTTATATAACTATGCGTGATAGGGAAGTTTTGCAAATTGCAGATTTTAGAAATGCTCAACATGTCTTTCAGTCTTTCCCTTTCTTAATTGATGCATGCTTGGTTATGATTTTATCATTTGACTTTTAATAATTTTAATGAGGGGAAAGGAGCAGTAGTTAATATATTAAGAGGAATTACTCATCAAATATGTCATCCGAAAAGATATTATTAGATTATTCACTGGAATAACCCTCTGAGAGTTGACACGACCTGCATAACATGCACAGCTTAGCATAGATTTCCTGACAAGTTACCAATTAGATTGTCGTTGTTTAATTATTCGATGGTCTATATTATTGGTTGTTTAGTAAATCAAGCATTAATCAACAATATGTTTAAAAGAATTCGTCAAAATCACCGATGCTGAAATAGTTTTTATCAATTTTTGATGAAAGGAAAAAAAACTTGTTTCAATCCTTATTTCAGGCGGAAATTCAGCCTAAAAAAAACAATTTTCTATTTTAGAAAATTGTAATTCCTCCATTTAACAACTACATGACAACTTTTTCAAGAAATATAAAAAATAAAAGAAAAAAAAAACGATTGGAAATCTTTCGATCTTTTGCAGAGTCTTTACATCTGAAAAGAAAGAAAAAAACAAACTTTTTCGGCAAATTCTTTTTTAGGATTTCCAACGATTTATTGGTAATTTCCAGAAAGTTTTCAGTTAAATAGACTTCGTAGCAGAATCGAAGCACTTACACCCTCCAATATTTCGCTTATGTGTGTATGTTTTATGTGTACGTGTGTGTCTATGTATATATATATATATATATATATATATATATGTATGTGTGTGTGTCTTT